ATGAGTTAAAAAAGAATAAGACAGGATGTATCTCTGATGTTTTAAGTTTGAGGTTATAAAAGACAGCTTCTCAGGTTATAAAAGATTCTTGGGCCAGGCACGGTTCTGGCCACATAATTTCAGCACTTGGGAGGCTGAGGCAAGAGTATGACCACAAGTTCAAAACCATCCTGAGCTCCAAGTTCATGGTCAGCCTAAGTGAATGCCTGAGCTACATAGTAAGATCCTGTTTCAGAAAGAAAAAAGATTCTTTATGCTAATCATAGATGCTACAAACATGATAATCCATGCTGTGTAATATATACCTCAATTTTAAAAAAAAAAAAAACACTTGAGAAGCTGGGTATGAGTGCACATGCCTATCATCCCCCCGCTCAGGAGACTGAGGTAGGAGGATCACTGCAAGTTCAAGGCCAGCCTGAACTACATAGTGAGACCCTTTTCTAAAGCAAGGAAAAAAAAAGTTTGTTGGGTTTTTTTAAGTCTTTAGAAGAAAACTGCATTTATATTAATAAACCTAAATGTACAGCATATTTTTTTCTTTTTTTCTTCATACTGGGAATCAAACTCAGGACCTCGTGCTTGCCAGGCAGGCACTGTGCCACTGAGCTATTTCCCCAGCCCTGTGCAGCATCTTATATTTGAAATGGTCTGAAAGAACCAAATGATTCTTTTCAAATCAGAAAAGTGTACTTAAAGAGCAGGGATTTTTTTTTTAGCTTATCTCAATGTTTCCCCCAGTAAGTTTTACATATTGCTTGCCTTGCCATAAGTGCCCAAAAAAAATAAGAATTGCTTTAATACCAAAAATATAAACATAATGAAGAGATTTGAACATCAAACACAAAAGTAATGATAAAATGTATTAATATAAAATCTTGTGAAAATGTCCTACAGTGTAATTTGTCTTAGTTACTTTTGCATTTTGTGATGCATTTATGTTTTATTAACATCCAGATCTAAAAACTGTATTAGTAAGTGTATTGCTTACTTCTTTATCCCAAGAACTCATAAAATAGCAGCTATCTGCCTGAGTTGTTCTCTGTCAGGTAATAATAAACAATATGGACAGTGATCAAAGCCAGTAATAGTTAATTCATTTCATCTTTACCTTGATAGATGGCACATCTGCTTATGTGGGATAAGTGCCAGGGTTTTAATGTAACTTCTCTAAACAACAGATTAATGACAATTCTGTTTAGTAGTATAAATTGCTCCTTAGGTGGTCCTTTTATTTCACATCACTTTCATGCTAGCAGGAAGGACTGTGCTCTTCATATAGTGTTATAATTTCATCATACTAAATGTACCTGCTAGAGTTATTACTAAATAAATATAAAAGCTTTCAGTAGAATTCTTCCTGGTTTTATAACAGTATTCTTGTTCAAGACTTTATAAATTATTACCTTGAAAGCAAAAATAAGTTAAATTGGCTGTCCATACATCATTTTCATAATGAAAATAAACATTAAGCATGAAAATAAACATTAAGCATATTTATTTTCATTATGAAACATGTTTTTTTCATTATGTAATAGCAATCAAAATAAATTTAAATAATAAATGTGGCAGTACTTTTTAAATAGAAAGTTGTATCTGGCAAGTAGGTACCTTCTTTCTGTTTTTCTAACTTAGAGCCCTGCATCCACCAGATGAGATCAGGAGCATTCAGGCTGGTATGGCTATAGACTGCATCCACCAGAAACCTCACTCCTTCGTTAGCTTTCAGTCACTAGATCTCACCAGTGTCCTCTCCTCAAAGAGACCTAACAATGACCACAGCCATTTCTCAGCCCCTGCTTCATAGAGACGGAGCACTATCTGAAGTCACTTTATTATCTTTAACCCATTAGAATGTAAATGTTAGGGTGCAGTGCTGGGCTATACTTCACCAGTGTTTTTCCCTGCCCTAGAAGAGTGCTGTGACCACAGAATGATTACTTAGTACCTTGTTGGCATGAGTCAGTGTCACAGCCAGGTTAGAAGTGAGCTGAGGAGACAGGATACTAGGTCTCTAGGCAAAAATGTATATGCTTATGATCTATCCGAACTGTTACTACAGAACTGCACACATAGCACTATAGTCTTCAGATCACACCAGAACATGTTAAATATTTAAGAAAGAGATCCTGGGGCTGGAGAGATGGCTCAGTGGTCTAAAGCACCTACTTGGAACAAGCTTGGCAAAGCATAGGGACCTCGGTTCAATCCTCCAGCACCACATGCCAGCCAGCCACGCCCCCTGGTGGGCTGAGCTGGCCACACACACACACACACACACACACACACACACACACACACACACACAATAAATGTTAAAATAAAAGAAAGAAAGAAAGAAAGAAAGAAAGAAAGAAAGAAAGAAAGAAAGAGATCCTGACCAATCTCTCTTAACCCTTTCAGAAAAGACAAGACCCTTCCTTCTCATATTTTGAGACCAGTTTAGCCCTAACAACTAAAACCTGGAAAAAGACCTAACAAGTAAAGTAAACCATAAGCTAGTTTTCCTCTTGGACAAAAGTACGAAGTACCTAACCATTCAAATCAATCAGGGAATAAAGTAATACGTGTAGTACACACTTATAATCCAAGTTACTTGGTAGAGTGACTCAGGAGGATCACAAGCTCAAGGTAGCCTGGACAATTTAGCAAGTCTCAGTTTTTAAAATTATTTTTTTTTTAAAAAGCTAATGATGTAGCTTAGTTGGCCAAGTTCCTCTGGGGTCAAATAGTGCCACTTATATACATACATACTTATATCCAAGTGACATTTATCCAAAGGATACTAAACAATCTTAGTGATTGAAAAATCAATTAGTGTAATCCATCTTGTTACCATGATAAAGGAAAAACCATTATGATCATATTAATCCAATCCAAACATTTAACAAAATAAATTCTTGATGAAATTCAGCAAAGTAGAAATAGAGAATTTCCTCAGTCTGCTAAAGAGCATTTAAAGAAATGTAAAAGAGGTGCCAGCCAGATAGCTCAGTGGATTAAAAACCTTGCTTAGGCAAATGTAGGGACCATGGTTTGCAGGGACCAAGGTTCGATCCCCAGCCTGCAGTGCCAGCCCTACCTCTGGGGCGAGCTGAGATGTTGACTGAGACTGGGTATGGTGGATCATGCCTGTAATCCCAGCTCTTGGGAGGCTTAAACCAGGATCACTATGAGTCTGATCTGTGTAGTGAGACTCTGTAGACCCTGTACTAAATACAAAAAGAAAAGAAGAAAAAGAAATGTAAAGGGAGGCTGGGGAGAAGTTGCTTAGCACACTTGAAGTCCCAGATTCAATCCACAATACCACCAAAAAAAGAATAAAGGTAGCATCATGCTTCAGCATGAGATTAGAAACAAGTAAATAAATTAATGACATGATCATAGAGTGTGATAGAGCTTAGCACTAAATAGGAACTACTGATCTGCAAACAGCACAGTGCGTTTCAAGCCCTCTATGCTGAAAAAAGAAGGCAAACTCAAGAATATGTGACATATGAATTCATTTATTCCAGTCTCTGAACTAGCTGGAACTAGCAAGAAATGTTAGAGCTGCTTCCTTGGGAAGGCAGAGAGAAAGGACAGACTGGATAGAATTAAAGAAGTGATCAAAATCACATGGCCAGGATTATAAATCTGTTTGTGATATTTTTTCTCTAGAGATATAAATAATAACAACGGGAAACAGGGTAGAAATGATACTTGAACCAACAATTACAAATGTACCAATAATCACTGAGGCTGTATACCGATTGTAGAGTGGTTTATTACAAATTCTGTTCACTTTGTGCTTGAAATCTATATAATAAGATATTAGCAGAGAGGTGGGGCAGTAAGAGAATGTTTGCATGTTGACTTTGGTACCATGTATCATTTGGCTGTCAATTTAAATGCATAAAAAGGGCTGACCAAATAGCTCAGCAGATTAAAGCACCTGCAAGCAGGTGCAGGGTCCATGAGTTCGATTCCCTGGCCAGCCCTGCCAGCCCTGCCCACGGGACTTGAGACTGCAATTGGGACTGGATATGGTGGTACACACTGGTAATCCCAGCTCTTGAGAGGCTGTAAACAGGCGGATTACTAGGAGTCCGATCGTAGTGAGACAAGAATACAAAAATATAAATGAATGAATGAATGAATGAATGAATGAATGAATGAATGAATGAATGATACAAAAAATAGAGACCTTTCAACTTTCCCTAACTAAATGAGGAAGAATAGTGAAAACTGGGTGAGAGATTTAGAGACCTAAAAACAAGCCATTTACCTAATGTATGCGTAAGAAAAGTAGCCAAATTTGTGACAGATAATTTGGTTGTAATTGCATCAGTTTTCAAACTTTTTTAACAAAGAAATCATCTACAGGAAAAACAAGGGAAGACTTATCTCCTGACTGATTTAAATTCATATTTTTAGTTTTTTGTCTAAATCTGCTTATTTTTATTTTTAAATTCCTTTTTTAAAATTTGCTTTCCATATGAAGATTGGTACAAATGACTCTGAAAGGTAGGTAGGTTTTTTAATGTGTTTAATTTCAGAATACTCACATCAATTTTATAATTAATAGAAATGTAAGTCTTTAAATTACTTTAATGTATTATAAATGCATAAAGGGAAAAAGAACATGTATATAATATAAATAGTTTTTTGTGTACTACATACTATAATTAGAATGTGGCCATTCTCAGTGATATAAAAAGTAAATTATGAATAGAAATTCTCTTAAAGGGACATAATCAAGACTACTACCTTTAGAACATATTTGTAGTAAGTAAACTTTCCTAAGAGAAAATTATAAATAGTGTTAATACTTTTTTTTATGTTTTCTTCTTTAATTCTTACATAGCCTGAGAAAAAAGTATAACCTAAGCTGGCAGAAAATGTATAATATATAACAAATTAGTATATCTATTTTATAATGACAATTTAGCATCAGTTTTCAGGTTATTTTGAAAAATCTAATAGACACACGTGTGAACTCATGCTTGCAATCTTTTTAGCTACAGAAAATCATAAGCAAACAAGATGACTTCAAGATAATGAAAACTAATGAAAGACAATGTCAGGTATGTACACATAAACTAAGAATTTCTCTGTTATGTTTGTTAACTAAGTATTTCCAGGTAGTTGGTCAGCTTCATTAATAACTTCATATTTTAAATAGATGCACCATATTTGCAGAGTTCTAACTTAAAAGGGCACACAAGAGGAGGTAGACAGCAAAGGGCTCCTCCACTCACCCATCCTCCTCCTAGAGCAGTGCACGCTCTCGGTTTTCTGTGTGTTCTTCCGGAGATAGATCTTATGAGTGTGTAAGCGTGCTTGTAAATAAGCACATGTCTTCACTCTGTTTTCCATTTTTATGTAAGTAGAAGCATACTATGCATTGCTCTGCTTTTCTTCTTTCCCTTAACAAAACATCTCATACTTTTTAATGGTTCCATAGTACTTTGTTTATGGAGATAACAGTTTATGTAACCATTCCTCTTTTGAAAGCCATTTAACCTGTAGCTTTTTTTTTTTTTTTTTTTTTTTTTGGTGGAGGAAGGTGTTAAGACAGGGCCAGGGTGTCATTGCAGTGTAGTCCAGGCTGGTGTTGAACTCACTGTGTAACCCAGGCTGGCCTCAACTTTCTGGCAATCCTCTTGCCACAGACTCTCAAGTGTTGGGGTTACGGGCATGCACCAGTATACCCAGCCATGTATCTGTCCCTTAACAATACACGTAATGTTACAGTAAATAATCTTGTATTTAAACCATTATATATATAAAGAGTCATCAAAATATAAGGTGAGGCTTGGGAGATAGCTCAGCTATTTAAGCATCTACCTGGCAAGCTCAAGGACCTGCGTTCAGTGCCTGGTACCACATGCTGTGCCAGCCCTGAAACCCTAGGTTTGCCGTGCTGGCCACCAAAACTAGGCATGATAGCATATACCTGTAATCCCAGCACTGGGGAGGCTGAGACAAGAGGATCACTGTGAATCCGAGCTGCATAGTGATTAATTTGGTACCAAATTAATTAGTTAATTTATTTTAATATAAATATATATTTATTGCAGTAAAAGACACATTTCTATTAATTCTTCTCAGAATATTCCCTCTCAGTTCAAACACATTTACTCCATTGTTCTTAACATTTTATGAAGCAGTTCTAGAATTTTTTTCATGAGTGTCTTTACAAGGTGTGTTCAAAACTATAGTGAATGTTGCTACTGTGTGTCATCCAGACAGGCTTGTGAAAACAGCACTGTGTCTTCATCCACTTATTCACCAAATCTGCCACCATGTATCTTCTAACTCTTCCCCACCATCAAAATGACCATAAAAGGGGAATGTTTTTGATCAGTTCAAGACATCAAAGTAGCCCTAAAGACATAGGGTCACACTTCATGTGGGATGACTTCCCAGAAATTCTGTTGCTAAATCAAAAGGCATGAATATTTACAAGACTGACAGACTTGATAAATATCCCCAGTATGTTTTCTTACAATATGAAGTAATTTTCATTCCTATGAGTAATGTGTATCAGTGAGTTCTCATTTGACAATCTTTTTTTTTTTTTTCCTTCTTCTTCTTCTTCTTTTTTTTTTAATGTATTTGGTTGTTACAGGATCTCACTACACAGCTCAGACTGGTGGTGGTCCTCCTGCTTTCAGTCTCTCCAGTGCTGGGATTATAGGCATATGCCTCTATACCCAGACTCTGGCCAGCTCAGCCTACCCTGGGGGAGCTGGCGTAGCATGTGGTGCCAGGGATCAAACCGTGGTCCCTGTTCTTGCCTAAGCTTGCCTAAGCAGGCACGTTAGTCCGTGGAGCTATCTTGCCAGCCCCAACAATCTTTTGATTAATTATAATTTTACCTTATGCTTTTTATGAGATTTTCTATTCCAAATCATTTCAGTTTTTCAAGGATGTTTTCTTCAAAATTTGCAAATGAGTAAAATCACAGTTCCTTTTTGTATTTTGTTCCCTTCAAGTAATGTTAATACTGACTTCTGTGTGTCATGTCCAAGTCCTTAACTGCTCTATTTCCTTTTCCAGAAGAACATATCCTGTATGTTCTTACAGTACCTTCTGTGTCTTCAGTCATAACAACTTAGGTAGCATTTGTTAATAACATTGGGCCAGGGAGATGGCTCAGGGCTGGGGAGATGGCTCAGTAGAATATGCGCTTGCCTGGCAAGTGCAAGGGCCTGAGTTCAATCCCCGGTTCCACAAAAAAAAAAAATAATAATAATAATAATGTCACATATCTCCCTTAATTCATTCCAGTTATGTTCATGGTTATAGTTTATTATAATGAGTGGATACAGATTAAAATCAGACAAAGGAGAGGCTCATGGAGCAACGTACCACAACCAGAGGTTACAGATGTCTTCTCCAGGTAGAGATGTGACAGAACTAACTTTGCAGACACTAATGTCTAATAGTGTACACAAAGAAGTGACAATTAGGGAAGGCCCCCTAGACTTTGATGTCCAGGGGTTTTCCTGAAGTCAGCTACATAAACTGCCCGTGTGCTTGACCTTAGTCTCGCTTTGGCCCAAAGCCCTCACCCTAAATCTCACTGTTTGAGTATCTGGTATGGCCCATACCCCCAGTAAGCAAAGAGTTCTCTTACGGATTACCAGCAGCCAGGCCCCTGTTTGATAAGGTTAACTCTACTACTCATTGTATCTGCATGGATGGATAAAATAGCAGGCATACAGTAAATGCCCAGGATTTTTTAATCAACTTAAAAAATATCTAGTGTGGGTATAACTAAGTTGATCTTTTATTGGTTAATTAATCTTTTATTGGTTAAGATTATTTCCCAACATTCACTGCTAGAACTATCCTGTGATAATAAATATCTAAACTATAAGAGGTAAATTGGCAAGGCAGCAAACTGCCTGTATTGAGCAAAGACTTCACATCTTAACACTAATAAATAAAAGATTTTCTTCTAAAAATAAATAAATAAATATCTAAACATGTATTTTCTTTTCTTTTTTTTTTTTTTTAAGATTTATTTATTTATTTAGTGTGTGTGTGGCCAGCTCAGCCCACCAGGGGGCAGGGCTGGCTGGCATGTGGTGCTGGGGGATTGAACCGCGGTCTCTGTGTTTGGCTTAGCTTAGCTTGTTCTAAGTAGGTGCCTTAGACCACTGAGCCATCTTACCAGCCCAAAACATGTATTTTCAAGATAAGAGTTTCTGAAAGTGAGATTATTGATTTAAAAGGCAGAATATTTTTAAAGCTTTTGCTATTTGCTGCCAAATTACTTTATGGAAAAGTCGTAACAATTTACAGTCCAGCACTGAAAGAGCATGCCCATTTCTCAGCAGGCTCTCTATCAGTCAGTCTCCACAGGCACTCTTTCTGCATCTGGCTGTGTGCCATCTGCCACTTGCTCCAAACAGGCCTGCAGTCTCAGCTAATAGAGCCACTGAGCAAGGATCTGCCACTCTGGGTCAAGTAAGTCCCATCCATCTGCCACAGGGAAGCCGAGTTTCCTACAGCCTGCCCTTCTGAGCATGCAAGTCCATTTTCTCCAGCTCGTTGCTTTCTGGAGAGAGGATTTGTCGACCACATTCCATCATGTAGGAGGTTAAAGGCAGTTACCATATTTTTAGTGGCCAATCAGATTAGATTGCCTTTTAATAAACATGGTAAGTTCCCAAACAAAACATTTTAAGTAAACCACATCTTTAATATAGTATAAATTTTAGGTTAATATTTTTAAGAATCTACATGAAGAAACCTATAATTTTTTTATGTTAAGAAACAGAAGATTGAAATACATGTGAAGACAGGCTTTTTTGGTAGGAATAGTAAGCCTTGAAAGGAGATCAGCTCCCATTAAATCTATGAGTTCAGTGTAATACTGGTCAAAACTCAGGGTATACTTTGGTTTTGTTTTGGGGAGATTTTTGGCACACAGTGACCAAAGAAGCAGTGTGTGTGCAAGTAGCATACCAAACCTTGGCAGAGCATATCTACACTTCCCCTAGAAGAGTAAATGGAAGCAAGTAACCAGAAAGACTCTGAGAAGAATCTCCCAACTAGCTACAACTCTTGTTGCATAGGTCCTGCTTTACCTTGGTCTTAACCATCCAGCAGAAAAGTATGAAGACGAAATTATAAGAAATAAAGCCATGCTGTTAAGTTGAGCTGTGGGGGACTCAGGTCAATAATTTCTGACATTGCCAGTTAAACAGAAGACCCAATGCTATTATGGGCTACTGGACTCTTTTAGAATATTTTGCTGAGTTTACACACCTATAATATTCAATAACGGAACTTAGAAAAAATGGGGTATACAGATGAATGTCCATTTTGTATCTGTGTATTCAAAGTGGTTGGGATAGATATATAGTTACATTCTGTTAATGAATAGAATGATTTGTTCTAATGGTGTTTGTAAATAGAATCACAAGTCCGCATCTTGTACAGCAATTAACCACTAAGAAGAATATATGCAGTATATTATTTGTTGAAAAATAAAAAAAAATAAAAAAAAAAATAAAGGAATCTCCCAACTAGTAAGGATTACACAAGTATAGTGATGTCATGGGAAATAGAGCAGCCAAAATGGAGACCAAACACATACGATGTTAGTTAGTGGATAATAGAGGTAGCAGTTTAAATCAGTGGGAAACACTATCCTTCTCCTTATTAGTAGTCTAGAAACCTGGAAGTCTTTCTGGAAGTGACTTTTTACTCCTCACATATAATTAGGCATGGAGCTCTGTCTCTTGTACCTCCTACATAGTTCCCACACCCATCCTTTTTTGTTCCATTTCCACTGTCACTTGAGGAACTCCCTATCACTTTCCACTTGAACGATATTGGCCTCCTGACCTCCCAGCATCCAGTGTTCCAAATTTGTCACATTATATCCAGAAGTAACTTCTCTCCTTAGAATTGTTCCACAGAACAGTATACAATGCATACATATATCAGAACATTATATGGTATCCATAAATTTGTACAATTTTTAATCAGTTTTAAAAAATTGTAAGTTGGAAACACATAGTTAAACTTTCTTTGCACTTGGGATAAATTCAGAAATCTTTGTAAGCCCAGGTCACCTGGCACTGGCTATCTGCCAGCTTCCTATTATGCCACTTCTGTCTTTTTTTTTTTTTTTTTCTCGGTGGAACCGGGGATTAAACTCAGGCCCTTGCGCTTGCCAGGCAAGTGCTTATTCTACTGAGCCATCTCCCTGGCTCCAGTGCCACTTTTATCTAGCAGAAATGGTGATGAAGAAGTCGACCCCGAAATGGACTGCCTGCGTTGTAATGCTGCTTTCATCATTTAATAGCTCTCTACCAATATACCTCATTGGGAAATGTAGGGGTTAAAGGAGTTACTACATTGCAGTCTCCTTCAACTGTGCTTCATACTCTATGAAAGTTTCTAAGTAAGTGTTTGCTACTATAATCATAGTAGTCTGGGAGGCTGAGGGCAGGAGGATCACACGTTTGAGCCCAGCTGAGGCAGTTTAGCAACTTAGCAAGATCCTGTCTCAAAACTTAATTTAAAAAAAAAAAAAAAGGTTGGGATAAATTTGCTATTGTATTCACTGCTACATTTACACCCCAGCTACAGCTCATCATGCTGTCAGCACCTTCAGGCCTTTTTTTTTTTTTTTCCTTGAGGCCTTTTTATGCTCCTGGTTTAAAGCATTTATTCCCAGTTCTTTCTTGGTTAACTTCTGTCTACAATTTAAATGGCATTCTGTCAGAGATACCTTGCTGAGCTTCCATGTGAATCCTGTTACCAAGCTCTACTGTATTTCCCAGAACTTTTATACTGTAGTTACTGTGTGCGTGCATGGGGGGGTACACGTGTGTGCGTGCGTACGTGTTGGAGATGAAACCCAGGGCCTCATACATGCTAAGCCTTTGCTAAACTACTGCCTCCTGGCCCCTGTGACTTTTCTGTTCTTAATAGCTTGTTGAGTGATGAGTAATCCCACAGTATTGGAAACCATGAAATCCCAAGGCTTAATCTGATGCTTGGCCCTGCGTGAGTCTTCACTGCATATTCATTGATGCCTGATAGACTCACTGACTGAATAGTGCTGGATATGGGTCCCCATTGTTATTCATAATAAGCCCCCCCCATCAGAGATTTTAATATTAGAAACAAATCCATGGAAGTACCGTAAGGAAGTAATATGTGTACATTATTGAAGTAGGTAGTGTTTTATAAAAGCCACAAAAAAAATCGTGGTAGTTTTTTGTTTGTTTGTTTTTGTTTTTTTCTGGAACTGGGGATTGAACTTAGGCCCTTGCGCTTGCCAGGGAAGTGCTTATTCCACTGAGCCATCTCTCCAGCCCCTATCATGGTAGATTCGACTGTTTACTTTTTTAATGATTAAGATCTCAGAAAAATTAGCAAAGACCATAAAGAATTAACAGAAGAAACATAGATAACCAATAAACATGAACAATGAAGATATGCAAGTTTAAAAAAAGATATGCAAGTTATAGGATTTGTTTTCCTATGAGATTGCAAATACAAAAAAGATGAATGTTTGTCTGTGTTGTCCAAGGTGAACAGCATTCTGTAAGGGGCTTTTTTTTTTTTTTTTTCAGAACTGGGGATTGAACTCAGATCCTTGTGCTTGCCAGAGAAGCACTTATTCTACTGAGTCATCTCCCCGGCCTATAAGGGGTCTCTTGATGGGCAATAAACTACAGATACCAAACGATCTAGATTCAGTTGCTGCTATTAGCCTCTAACTTGGAGAAATACAGAGTCACAACAAAGATAAATGTAGAACATTGTTTCTCATAACAGTGCCTCTAGTAAAAACAAATGGGAAATAACTACATATCCATCAGTAGGAAATGAATTCATGATACTTGGCCAGCAGCTATGGCTCATGCCTGTGTCCCTTGCCGAATTTCCCTGCTGCCAAGCAGCATGAGCAGAGTCAGGCTTGATAACTTTTCTGTGACAGAGGAATAAAGTAACTTTATCTGCTACACTGAACATGTGTTAATATATGTGCACATACAACCCCACAGTGGTACTACAGTGGGCTACCAATATTAGCTATATTCATTGTCTGAAAAGTTGCTCCACTCTAAAAAGAAAAATAGCAATTTTCTTTAATAGGTATATATTACTTCATTTGCATGGGATTTTTTTTTTGGGGGGGGTGCTATTGAACCCAGGGCCTTGTACATGTTGTGGATAAAAGTCATAGTTCAAACTGGGCATGGTGGTGCATGGCTGTAAACACAGCAGTCTGGAAGCTAAAGCAGGAGCAACACAAGGTCAAGTTCAACCTGAACTACATAGCAAGATCCTGGCTCAAAAGAAGAAAATGTGTCAAACAGCAGTACAAACTATAAACTATTAGGAATAAAGTTCAAATTTGTTTAAATTTTTAAGAGAAAACAGTATTTTAACTGTGATCTTGGAGACCTTTGATGTAAAATCTTGCTCACATAACTGTTGGCTACATTCAGAATTACTGATTTTGAAATCATATGCCAGAAGGAACTTGCAGACATGACATTAGTTTACTTTGCTGCTTTCCCACTGTCAGTCCACTGCAGTGCCACACATCTCTGTCATCCTTATTGGTGGCCGGGTGCCTCTTAATATACATGCCCATTTGATCCAAAAATACCTGATATGCTTCCCACCTTATGGGGAATTCATCTCTTTCTCCCCTGGTTGATGCAGGTTGCATTTTGATCCACTGACCTATAGACCAGTGTGGGGAAACAAGGACAAGTGAGGAAGGGAGCCCCCTGGAGGAAAAGGCAGGGCATCCCAGCCTCAAAGAGTGGTGCAGCTCCGCTGCGCTGCGTCCATCCTACGACTTAGTGCTCAGCACGCTGCAAGGCTCAACATATCTCATCCATTGGCTGTACCTTGGCCTACACAGAGTCCAGGGAGGTCACAAGCCTCAAAGCTATTTCACAGGCTGCTCGACCCCACTCAAGTAAGGCAGGAGCTTCAACCAAGGGCTTTTTCCCCTCCAGTCAACTGCTTACTGCTAATGAAATAAAACATAATCGATGATTTCAGTGCTGTAGTCCTGTATCTCCCTTCTGTTTCTGAGAAGTAGGTGTTGGGCAGGAATAGGAGTCATGATGGACTGACTCATATCTGAATCTATTGTTTCTTTCTCAGCCTGAGCCTTAAATATTTGGCTTAAATTTGTGCCTCCTTTTTTTGACTGCTGATTGTAATTTTTAGTGATTTTACTTTTCTTGTTTTATTTTCATTGTAGTTTATTAAGAAAATGAAGAAGGAACACCCTAGGAATCTGCCTCACTGTCTTTAATGGAATCCTTACCCTTAGTTTTATTTAGGAAAACCAAGTGTTTAGCCAGGCATGGTGGCACACCTGTAATTCTAGCACTGAGGAGGCTGAGGCAGGAGGATTGCTGCAAGTTTGAGGCCAGCAGGCTATACAGTGGGTTCAAGATCAGCCTGAATTACAGAGTGAGGCCCTGTCTCAAAAAACAGGACAGGGGGAGGGAGGAGCAAGTGTTTCACAAGTATTCAGCATTTATAATTGTATAACATATAGCAAAAGCTAAAAGACTCCTACTCAAATCATCTCAGTGCTATTCACTAAAAAATATCTAAAGATTACATTTTGAAATATTTCACTATTCTAGGCTTTTAAGAATTTGTTTCCTTTTTTTTTTTTTTTTGTCGGAACTGGGGATTGAACTCAGGCCCTTGTGCTTGCCAGGGAAGTGCTTATTCCACTGAGCCATCTCCCCGGCTCCAAAAATTTGTTTCTGCTGAAGAGCACATTGAGTATTTCTAGCCTTCCTCCTTGAACATGATTATACAAAGATGCTACATAAAGTTACAGGCAGAACAATAAATGTGTCCCCCTCTTTTCCACTGGTCTTGTTCTCCCTGCAACAATAATCTCTAGGTATTGTCCCCAAAGTTCGAGTTGCAGGTTCTATTTTTGTCCTTCTGAATAATTACTTAAAATTTGTAATAATTATTTGAAATTATATGTAATTTTTATAGGATCAAACAATGACAGAATCTGAAATTAACACAACCCTTCAGATGCATTTCTTTGGAAAAAGAGGTGAAAGAAAACTTCATTACAAAGAATTTCGAAGGTAAATTTGAACGCTTATATTTACTTTGGAGAATTTCAGAGATAAGAATTGAGGAAACAATTATTCATTTTCCAGACTGTTATAACATAAAACTAAAAGCTATTTGTAGATATGTATTTATCTCTGAGAACTAAACTATACTCTAAAAATTCCAGCCTATTATGAAAATAAATGTCTGTCTTACAGAATGCAGTAATTCTTTTTAGTAGCATAATGTTTGCACCTAAGAGAACTGCCCCAATATCGGTTTACTCATAATGCAACTCAGAGCAGCCCAACAAAGGCCATCTATCATGTCCTCTAGTCTTTGGGTCATTTGACTGTGACTCCCCTGCGGGGGCCAGGATTGGCTGGTCTTGACTAGACTAAGGCATTTGCAGTCTGTTGATGGGTAACTGAAGGTAACTATTCTGAAATGGTCTCAGCTGACACAGTTCATGTAGTCTTCAACTCTAATAACATGAAGTGTGGTGACCTTTTTCTGCAAAGGATCCAATGATAAATAGTCTTTGTCAGAACCACACTACTCTTCTGGGTTGTGTGAAAGCGTCCTTTAGCAATGCATTAATACACAGAAATGTCCACGGCCCATTCATTTTAAGCAATGTATTTAACTTCCCTGGATGCATTTCTTTATCTATAAAATAAGAATAGCATACTTACATTAGATTGCTTCCCCCCCCCCCCCGTGGTACCAGGGATTGAACTTGGGACCTTGCACTTGCCAGACAGGTATTTATCCCATGAGCTATCTCCCCAGCCCCCTAGATGTCTCCTGTTTACCTTCTTCCTAGTGAGCATAACTCTATGAGTTTCACTACCTTTGCCACTGCACTCAGCAGTCTCAGAACAGAGCCCAGAAAGTAGACAGAATAGTGGGAAACACTACTGTGCAAGACAGCGTTGTACCTATTTCAGCCTGATGCAGTTGAGTAAAAGTTTACTGAGTGTATACTGTGTGCTTCGAGGCATCAGGGCTGTCTGAGACACTAGGGATAGCCCCTTCTAGGGACAAAACATGCAGAAGTCCCTGTAGTTAGTGCTTTCATAGATTAAAATATAGTTCAGTAGCACAAAAAGTCACTCACTGAGGAACCCTCTTTTGAAAGTTGGAGGCGTGTGCTCCAGGGGGCTTAGGTGCAGATGTAGGCTGTGAATGTACATAGGTACTAGTATGTGCAGTTGTCATGTGGTTTCCTTCCAGTCAGACTTGAAGGCCATCAGCATCTGAAGGGAGCAGAGGATGTAAGCAAAAAGGTGGCTGATGTCAAAAGGGGAGTCTGGGCTTGGGTAGGATGAAAGTGAAAAGGAGTTACACAATATCCACAGCACAAAATAGAGGCAACTGTACTGTCAGGGACTTAAGATGGGCCTGGCATTCTTCTCATATGTTGCATATATTGTCTCACCTATTCTTAGTAAGGTGAGACACGGATTCTTCCCTTTTATGAGTGGATCCCATGAATAAGTATCACAACATTCATGAGCTCCATTCAGAAACGGACATTATCTTTTATTTCCCTCTCTTATTCTCACTTTCTCCAGTCAGTCACCAAGTACCCTTGACTTTCTTCTCATACAAGTAATCCCTTGGATTTCACTGCCTCCCTCCATCCCTGCTGCCATCATTGATTCATCACATCATCCCCTCCCCTGGTCATAAAGCAGCCTCTAGCAGGATTCCTACTCCTCACTCCAGATTTCCTGTCATCTTGCCAAACCAGTAAGGTGCCATGACCACCTTACTCCTATCACTGAAGAGAAAAAGATGAAAAGAACTTAACTGTATTTTTATAATAAATTTTCAGGCTGGGGAGATAGCTCAGTAGAATAAGTGCTTGCCTGGCAAGCACAAGGGCCTTGAAGTTCAATCCCCAGTTCCGCAAAAAAAAAAAAAAATTCTACTTTCTTAATTCACTGTATACTTGTTACAAATAAGGCATCCTCTTAACAATACTAATATAAATCATTGAATATCATTATAGTACACAGGATAATGCCCAGTGAAACAAAAGGCAAAGAGTATCAGTAAAATATCTTACTGATCTATCAGTCCAGACTTGAAATACTTAAAAGCTTTAGATAAAACTCTGTTTTGACCCAGAAAGAAGCATAGCATTGAAAAACCTAGGGGCTGGGGAGATGGCTCAGTAGAATAAGCACTTCCCTGGCAAGTGCAAGGGCCCGAGTTCAATCCCTGGTTCCACAAAAAGAAAAAGAAAAACCTATATATCTAACACATTCAGAAAATGTTGTACATGACAAACTGTTACTTAGCACATAGGTGCTTAAACTGTTCTTCATGCTTTTGAGAGTTACAGGGAAAATGTAGAACCTAACGAAAATAATCTTTAGCAGTGGCAATTTTTCACCACAGAACTGGACTATGCCTCTTTTCTCATTTTGTATACATACATAAGTTGTGTATATATGAGAAATAGACCTTTTCAAAATGTGGAAGTGAATAAAGGGCTCTGCAACATCTTTTTTTGTTGTTGTTTTGGTTTTGAAACAGGGTCTTGCTGTGTAGCCCAGGATGGCTTCAGTCTCATGGTGATCCTCTTGCCTTAATCTCGGTCTCTCAAGTGCTGGGATGACAGGTGCATGCCACCACTCCCACCTTGCAACATATTAAACTTTTCACCTGGTTTAGACAATGAATAAATCAAGTGCAATGTTTGTGGATTCTTGTTCATAGAAAATGTTTACTCTGAAACCCTTTCAAATTGTACCTTTTCTAGAAAGCTGTGGATGGCAGTGTGACCAATGTTCCATGTTGTTTAAATAAGAATGGAATGTTGAGTAACACAGACACATGCTATTGTCCAAAAGGGTATATAGATATTTTTAGGCAGACCTAAATTTTTGATACAAAACCTTTGATCAACTTTGGTTTCTGAATAATACTCAAGCCTATTAATTATGATTAACATTCTAAAAGCAGAATCCCACCTAAGCTTTAAATTTTTTTGGATTATTAATGTTTCTCTATAGAAAAACTTGTTTTCTGTATAGAATTTTATTTTGTGTGGGTATATCAAAGCAACATCTTATATATTTTTAAGTTATCAAAATGCACATTGCCAGATATACTTGGCACAGACAAGCTGAGCCTACAAGAGATCAAAGCAGGCACTGGACTCATTGGCCTTTCCTGCATTGTCTCTCCCCTCTGCCTTTTGTTTATTATATCGAAAGACTAGCCCCCCAGTAGGTACTAATAATAGTGAAAGTGCATTGCAGTCCCATACAACAGTAAGGTTGAATGCTACTACTTATGTCGGTCTTGTATTCTTTCAGATTTATGGAAAATTTACAAGCAGAAGTTCAAGAAATGGAATTCATTCAGTTTTCTAAAGGTTTGAATTTCATGAGGAAAGAAGACTTTGCAGAATGGCTACTTTTTTTCACTAACACTGAAAATAAAGACATTTATTGGAAAAATGTGAGAGAGAAGTTGTCAGCAGGAGAGGTTGGTAGCCCTTTACTTATGCATGTGATAAATTATGAAATAATGGCCAGGTGTGGTGGTGCTCTCTGTAATCCTAGCACTCAGGAGGCTGAGGCAGAAGGATTTCTGGGAGCCTGGGCTACGAAGTGAGTTCAAGACTAGCTTGAACTGCATTGCAAAAAGTACCCCCCCCCAAAAAAAAAAAGAGAAGAAAAAGGAAAAAGAAAAGCATCTAAATTAAACAGCACTGTGCTACTCTCTATTACAGAAGTGTGAAAATGGAGAAACATTTTCCAATACTATTTCCTGCAAATGAATTACTACCTAAGACAAAACCAGTAGAGGCCTTATAAATTTGTATTTCCACTAGATAGGACAAGAATCCACAGTCACCACTACTGTTGAATACTGTTCTGGAAATCTTAGCCAGGCAAATGAATAAGACTAAAAAGATGACAGCAATTTGAAATTCTCTTTGTTTGTATATAATGTAATTACATCCCCACAGAACCCATGAGAATCCAGTTGAAAAACTATTAGAAAACAGAATTCAGTAAGGTCCTGTTACAGTGCAAATACAGAAAAAGCAGCTGTCCTATATACAGATTCCAAGTTAAAAAATACAGTAGTGTGTATATGTGTGCTTGTATGAAATATATGAAATGATGATCACCAAACCATAACAACGATAATGCACAGCAGTGAGATTCCAAGTGGTTTTTATTTTCTTTATACTTCTATGTATTGTTCCAAAAGAAATTTTGGACTACACATGTATTTTTATATAGCATTTTTAAATACTTGCTAATGTGAGGGGGAAGGTAAAATATATTAGAAGATCGTGTGTGATTGCAATAGAAATATATAAAATTAGAAATAATTTTAACAAAAAAAAAGAGGAAAGCTTGACAACTTTGATGTTTATAAATTTATCTAATTACAGAAAATTCCCTATTATTAATAGGAAGTCTTAGAGTTATAAATATGGCTATTCATTCCTTCAGCTGGTTGATAAATGTAACCATTATATCAGTCATAACAGCTAAGTGTGCTGCAATTACTTTAACCCTGAAATCCCCATGATTAACACAGTGAAGATCTTTTTTCCAACTACACTACATGTCCCCTGTTGGCTGCTGGAAGATCCTATTCACACAGTTGCCCAGGAACCAGACTCCAAGGCTCTGCCGTCCGGGAGCTCCATCATGTGGAAGCAGCACCCTCCTCAGACGGAAAAGGAAGAGTCATGTCCCAGCAGTGAGGTGTTTGGGCCTGGACACATCCCACGACGTTTGGCCTGTGGTGCTCACCAGTCACGTCAGCCTACCTAAGTGCACAGTGATAAAGAGGTGTTGTCTTAACATATATACAGGAATTGGAAATGGATAAACTCCAGTGGACCACAACAAAAATACCACTGGAATCTTTTGAGGGAACTAGACAAGTCGTTAAAAGTTTATATGAAGAAGAGTTAAGCAATTGAAGTATGTTATCAAATTTTAGTAACTAAAGCAGTGTCTGGCAAGAAATAGACCAGAATATCAAGTCATAAAATAGAGTCAAATACTCTGGAAATTTAGTACATGCAAAACAGTATTTCAGATTAGCTGGGTAAAATAATTACTAAAAATGGCATTAGGAAAATCCACTGGCCATCTGAAAAAAAAAAAAGATAAACCTAAATCTCTTACTCATTGCTCCACAGTGAATTCCAAATGGATCAAAATTAAGTCTTAGAGGGCCGGCCAGATAGCTCAGTGCACTGAAGTGCCTGCTCAGGCACAGCACAGCAGCTAGGGTTCAATCACCAGCATACCGTGCTGGCCCTACCCCTCGGGCACACTGAGACGGCGATTGAGACTGGGAATGGTGGCGCAGGCCTGTAAACCCCAGCGCTTGGGAGGCTGAAAGCAGGAGGATGATCACTATGAGTCCTATCTGCATAGTGAGACCCTGTAGAACCTGTACTAAATACAAAAAAAGTCTTAGAGCAATGAAAGTACTTGGAAACAGTGTATCATCTTAGAATGGGATATACAGAAATAGATTCATACCTCTTTAAGCAAAATCCAAAAGCTTTCAAGGGAAATTGAGTAAGTTAACATTTACAAATTATGATTTTGTTGCCTCCCCTTATCCTCCCCCCAAATTAAAATCAAAAGAAAAAGTTAACAAAATAGGAAGGTATATTAGTTTAACGTATAATAGAGCAGTCTCCTTAATTTATAATGAGATCCTTAAAAATCCATAGGAGGGCTGGGGAGATGGCTCAGCAGCATAAGTGCCTCCCTGACAAGCGCAACATCCTGAATTCAATCCCTGGTACCACAAAAAATAAAATAGGAATCTAGAACTATAAACAGTCCTAGATGTTTCCCTATTTAACACATATTGACTTCAAAGTCAATATGGTAATAACTGTAAAGTGTCTGAAAATATATCTTTTTGCAAGTTAGCCTACATGGCTCTGTGGGTGCTTGCAGGAGATGTAAAAACTTTATCATTCATGGCTGAGCAGCTGTGTAAGCATCACATGTGTGTTGGCTCCCCTGTGCCTCCCAAGTCCCCTGATGGTGACCTGAGACCCACATGCCTGCTGCCATGCAGCAGCTCAGTAGCATCCCTGCGGAACAGCCTGTCTGTGCAAATCTGAGTCAGAATGGGCAGCGAACAAGCAAGCTTTCGACCTGTGCTGCAGAGGGAGGTGAGTGTTCACCATACTGGGCAGGCAGCAGATCCTCTGCTCCCCAAGAAGCCACTACCTATTCAAAGCTGCCCACTTCACAGTCACCTTTGAAAAGATAAGTCAGAAGCAAAATAGCAGTTGGCACATGTGCAGAAACATGAGGAATTGCCTGCTGCAGGAGGTCACCTAAGAGCCTTGGAAATCCAAAGGAAGGACAAAATGGACACAAGAGAAAGCACAGATGACTAATGCATGTGAAAAGTACGGATGTTCATGCACAAGACACACAAATCCAAACACTAATGCTTTACCATCCTCACGTGTTATAAGAGCAGGGGTCAGAAAGGTTGCACCCAGTGCCTGCTGTGAGGTCTGAAGCAGAGAAACAGCCCCTCAGTTAACTGCTGATGAAGATGCTGTTAAGAGAACAAAGCCATATATAGAAATGGGTGGAGAGAGTGTTCTCATGGTGAGACAGGGAGACGGCGTGTGTGTGTGTGTGTGTGTGTGTGTGTGTGTGTGTGTGTACATGAGTACACTTTTCAGAAGCATATCCAGGGCACCATTGCTTGCCTCTGAGAAATTAACTGTGGTCCAGAAGAGGAAGGTTTTTCATTATCCTTTGATGTTTTTTGAATTTTTATCACACATACATTTTACTTCTTCAAAAATTTAATTAAAATTTTCAGCCAGGCATGGTGGCATACGCCTGTAATCCCAGCATACTGAGAGGCTGAGAAAGAAGGATCACAAGCTCGTATTTACTCTGCCTCAAAGTTAAAAAGGGCCGGGGATGTAGCTCAATTCAGAAGCTCTTTATTCTGTAGGCCCCAAAAATTTTTTATAAAAATTCTGTAAATTCATGAGAACGAAAAGCAGTAAAATATTAAGATCCCACTTATGTGAAGGGCATGATCCTGAAGGTCCCTAGAAAGATACTGTGTGTTTGTTTGTTTGTGACAAGAGTTTCACTATGCAGTTCAGGCTGGACTCAAACTGACAGCAATCGTCCTGCCTCAGCTGCCAAGTGCAGAGATTACAGTGCACCACTATGCCTGTGTCAAAAGATTTTTTTTTTGAAAGATACTTTTGTAAGGAAGGAAGGAATAACCTTCAAATTAAGAATTCTTACATAACCACTAGGAAGGCAGTATGCAATGTGTTAATTATTGGAACTGTCCTACCAACTTGATTTGAAACTGTCTCATTGATATTTATTTCTCAATAAAATTATGGGAAAAAGAAGAATTCTTACATTGTCTTTAATATTTAATGGAAAACTAGTCTGTTCGCGTTTTGTTTTGGGAATTTTGTCTGGCAGTGCTAGGGATGAAACGCAGGGCTTTGTACATAGTAAGCAAGTGCTATACCACTGAGCTAAACCCACAGCCTTCTGCTTTTGTTTCTAAGTGCACAGATTTTGAAGTCCATTGAACCAAGGTTCAGATCCTGATTATTGCACGTAGTACACCCTGGTCAGATACCCTCTGTATGCTAACGTCATATAGATAATAAATGGTACAACTGAAATTTCAATGTAGGTCCATCACCAAAACCCAGTGGTCCCACTTGGTGTTGTGTCACTGATAAGCTCTGCAGAAGGGGACCATTTAACAGTCTGTTACTCTCCTTGGGCTTCCATAACAAAGTACCACACATTAGGCAGCTCAAACAATGGACATTTATTTCCTCATGGTTACGGAGGCTGGATGTCCAGAGCAGGGTGCTGGCAGCCCATCTCCTGGCGAGGCCCTGTTTCGCTTGCAGGGAGCACCTCTTTGTGGAGTGCTGTGCGTCCTTTCCTTATGCACACACATCAGAGCAAGCCTGAGGGTAAGGGCTGATGCCTTTCCCTGTCATGACACCACCCTCCTCAGATCAGGACCCTAGATCTGACTTCAGATTACTCTCTTTACCTCCATGGAGGCCCTGTGTCCAGATAAAATCGCACTGGGGGCTAGGGCTGCAGATGTGAGTCCACATGGGACCATTCTGTCATCGTGCAGAGCCATCCCGGGTTTGCACTGCACTGCTCCACAAGAGCTGTCCACGCAGCGTCCAGTCTCCACAGCCGCACGCAGGCCCTGCCCGCTGTGCTCGCGTTGCTCCTCTGGAGCTCTGAAACTCATGCTGTTAGTCTGTGTCTTAAACTTTTTAATAGACTTGCTTAGGTCATCAGTTTTATGATAGAAGATTACAGTTATATTCATAAGATTACTTTAATGTATTTATAAAAATGTAATAAAACCTCTTATTTTTATTAGAGCATTAGTTTGGATGAGTTCAAGTCATTTTGCCATTTTACAACCCACTTGGAAGACTTTGCTATTGCCATGCAGATGTTTAGCTTAGCTCATCGACCTGTCAGACTAGGTAAGATACAGAAATCGTTTAATTTTTATCCTCAGTAAGCTGTTTCACTCTGTTCTTCACCAGGATGGTACCGACCACAGAGACAGTTATCAGTAAAATAATTGGCCTTTTAATTCACTGTGGTTATTCTAGATTTACATCCCCAACAGCTTATTTAATAGTTACTCCTTTTGTTTTTATTTTCTCATTCTAAAAAGGAGGAAGAGATGCCTTAATATGCAATAAAGGCTTTAATTAAATTAAAGCAGCTTACTTATCTTACACTTACTTTCATGACATTTCTCAACCAAATTTATGCTTTGAATGCATTTGTGATGAGTATCTTTGTGTTTTACTTCCCAAATAATAAACATTTAAATTTGTTGTTACTTCTCAACTAATGAAGACTACATGAATTCCACTTAGACTGTTACCTGACTAGTGTGGTTTATGTTTCCTTTTACAGCAGAGTTTAAGAGAGCTGTGAAGGTAGCTACAGGACAAGAGCTTTCAAACAATATTTTGGACACTGTCTTCAAGATCTTTGATTTGGACGGTGATGAGTGCCTGAGCCATGAAGAGTTTCTTGGGGTGTTAAAAAACAGGATGCACCGAGGATTATGGGTGATATATTTTGAATTTTTAAAAAACTACATGTTTATATTATCATAAAAACTATGTGTTAGTATTATTAACAATGATACTGCCTAGGTAAACCTCGAATTTGAGGAAATAGACAACCTTAAGTGAAAACTTAACAGTTTCAAAAGAGATTAATAACTGAAATACTAAAGTATTTTACATAAAATGAAATTCAATATTTTGATCTTTTAAAAAATATAGTTCTGAGCCAGCCAAATAGCTCAACAGATTAAAGCGCCTGCTTCGGCAGAAGCAGTGGCCTGGGTTCGATCCCCAGTGTGCCATGCAGGCCCCACCCCCTGGGGCGCGCTGAGATGGCAATTGAGATGGCATGGTGGCACACGCCTGTAATTCCAGCTGAAAATAGGAGAATCACTATGAGTCCAGTCTACATAGTGAGACCCTGTAGACCCTGTACTAAAAAATACAAAAAAAATTAAAAAGTTCTAATAGAAAACACTATTTAAAAATCTTACGAGAAAAATAAAAATCTTAGGAGGCTGGGTGTGGTGGCACCTACCTATAATCCCAGCACTCGAGAACCTGAAGCAGGAGAATCGCTCTGAGTTTAAGACCAGCCTGTGCTACATAGTGAGTTCAGGGCCAGCTTGAACTGTATCGTAAGACCCTCTTGCCAAAAAAAAAAAAAAAAAACCAACTAAATCAAAAGTAAAATCTTAATATTTTACTTTAGGCTCTGTAATTATATATGTAGATTTAAATACTGGCTCTGCCATTTATTAATTGCTAAGACTTACAAAGCTACTTAATTTTTAATCTTCTGAGCCTCAGACTCCTCATCTGTATAATAAGAAAACTACCTGAATCTACCAGAAAGAATTATTATTAAAATTAAGTGTGTAGCCGCTAACATTTATGTAAAGCAAATGTTAGCTGTGCTCATTCACTCAACTTCACATATTGGTCTGTAACAGGCAGATCAAAGTCAGAGCTTTGTTTGGCTTTGAATCAGCTAGAAGCATTCTCATGGAACAGATCTGCACTGTGAAGCTGCACAAAGAGAATGTGCAGAGGCAGGTGGGCCAGAAGAAAGGACAGGGATAATAAAGAACGTGATGCCATGTCTATGAAGACAGTGCGCTTCATTTACAATTTAGAAAGCAAGCTGAATTCCTACAGCAAACATGACTTAGGAAGAGCTAACAAACATGGTTTCCATTAGCAAACTTTGCTACCACAGTCTACCTTCAGCTTTGCCTTGGAGAGTGTGGGAAGTTCTGTGTGATACAATGTACACATGCCATTATTTTAGCCTTGAGAATGGCCTTTGATTTTTACTTTTTATTCACAGGTGCCACAACAGCAGAGTGTACAAGAATACTGGAAGTGTGTGAAAAAAGAAAGCATCAAAGGTGTAAAAGAACTCTGGAAAAAGGCAGGGAGAGACCTTTTTTAAAAAGAGATAACAAAGCAATTATGTTGTTCCAAATGTCAGGATTTGAGATTTTTTCCAAAGCTCTAGCTGCTTTTTATTCTTTAGTCCTCATTGATTTCCTCTGTAATATAAAAACACCATGTGCCTTCTTTCTGAGTCAAGGATTTCTCAACATGTTTTCATTGAAGACCTTAGTAGAAAGAAAAGGAACTACAGTACTATTGTCCAAAGACACACGTTGGATTCTTTCAGAAGCCTAAATTCTAAGTAATGTTTTGTTCTTGATAAGACAGAAAGCCTGTTATTCACTGAGTTCTTAGAAGAGCATGATTTGCTTTCTGGGAAAGTAGTGTTCTCTTCAGCATATACTAAAATTGGAAAAGTAAACAAATAGAGCACCTGACTCAGAGGCCAGAAGTGGTGATGTTCCTAGGAGGAAAATTAAAATTTTATTTCAGATTTTCTTACATCCATATCATATCTAATAAATTTCTTGTGTTTTACTTCAGTTAGCTTAGCTATATATTAACTGACTTAAAATAATGTGTCAGTAATTAAATCAAAATAAAGTAGATACAAAAAGTTAAGTTACAGGTTCTTTACAATGTGTGTGGGTGTGTGTTTTAAAGGTGAAATATTTTTATCCCTTGCAAATCTCATTAGTTTATGTCCTTAAAAACTAGCAAGGGGAAGGGGCCAGGGAGATGGCTCAGTGGAATAAATGCTTCCCTGGCAAGCGCGAGGGCCTGAGTTCAATCCCAGTTCCTCCAGACAAAAAAAAATAAAGACTTACATATTTAAAAAAAAAGCAGCAAGGGGTCTGGGGACATAGCTCAACAGTCTAAGTGCCTGCCTGGCAAGTGCAAGATCCCTGGTAATGTGTGCTGTGCGAGCCCCAGAACTCCAGGCACACTGTGCCGGCCACCAACACCAGGAATGGTGGTACAAGCCTATATTCCCAATGCTGGGAAGGCTGAGACAGGAGGACCATTACCAGTCCAAGCTGCACAGTGAGACCCTGTACTAAATAAATAAAAAAGATTAAAAAAAAAAAAAAACAGCACAGGGCTGAACACATAGCTCCGAGTGCTTGACTGGCAGGCAGCAGACCTTAAGGTTCAATCTCTAGCACAACAGAAAACAAACAAAACTTAGTATACTTAGAATTTTTATTGCAATCTGGAGGGTTTCATGGTATGCACTGGGTTGTGGGAAATGTTTAAAGTAGCACTAGAAAATAATCGCCTTGAAAGTACAGTATTACAGAAAGGATTAAAATAAATGGTCAACAAAAATGTGCTTCTCAAGGAAATGTAAGAGCCAGCTCCATTCCACAGGTAGGTGATTCTAGGGCTGTGATAGCAAAGATCCAAGATGAGCCTGAAACGTCTTGTTCTAGCCCTCAGAAAAGACTCATGGAATCAAGCAGACAGACCACCTGGAAAGGGCTCCCCTGCCCACATCTGGTACATTACATCAGAGTAATGCACAATGTTACCTCAGCTGATGAACTTTTCTCCACATGATTCTCTCCATGATTTTGCTCACAAACCATGTTGGGCAAGAACCAGATGAAATTTGCTGGTTAGGTTCTTTATTGACTTCATGAGGAGATTTGATTCAGTTCTTGTCCAGTTCAGCTTGTGACCAGAATCTTGGAAAGAACTGAGTCCATGAACTATAGCAGGGCCAGTAGCACATCTGTAATCCTGCCTACTCAGGGGGCTGAGACAGGAGGATCATAAGTTTGAGGCCAGTGCGTGGGCAGCTTAGCAAGAACCCATCTCAATAAAGGCTTGAGGCATATGTCAGTGGTAGAGCACTTACCTAGCACGCATATGGCCCTGGGGTCAGTCCCCCTACTGCAAAAAACAACAGATTATACCAGACTGGATAAAGTAATTCATAAGTTTATAATGAAATTGACTGATTAACAGAGTAATGGAAACCTCCCCTATAATTAGTAAAAGCTAATAAAGCTTTACTGTTAATCTGCTAAATTGGATAGTTCTCCCTTTATGGTTAGATGTTCAAGATTGACAAGTGGCAAGACTTTGCCCAATTATTATAAAAGTATTTTGTTGATTAAACAAACTTTCTTTTATATATATTTTTTTTTTCAAGAGAATTAAATCGTTTATTGATTACACATGATAATGGATGATACACAGCTTCAATCCCATCTATCATTGTATCTGGTGCCATTATTCAATTTAGATATATAGGATGTGCCAACAATCATTTTTATAACCAAGTAGCTGACTGTTTGCTTGGGTGACCTTTTCAGTGGTCAAATTCAGAGGTCACAA